TCATCTAGAACACTTTTGAGACGCAGATTCTTCCCAGTTACAGTAGCAAGCACTGCTAAAGCACTGTGCTCCGTAGGCTGGGGCCTCACTGGAGCCTTGGTTTGGATTCCCAGTCCTATCTAAAGTCTGGGCACTACGGTTTGCCTGTAACCCTAGCCACTTGAGAGGCTGAAACAGGAGGACTGCAAGCTTGAGGCCAGCCCAGACCACAAAGAAAGACCCAGTCTAAGTAAGTGCCAGACATGGTGGCTCATGCTTGCGGTCTCAGCTGGGAGACTGAGGCAAGAGGATCCTGACCTTAAAGACCCAGTTTGAAAAATCAACAAACAAAATGGATTCCTAGGCTGCAGATTTTCATCCTCCCAATACCCCCCACTAACACACACACCCACACACACACACACACACACACACACACACACACACAGGGATTCCCGTGAGCAAACAAGCTTGGGAACCATTATAGTTCAAACCCTTCATTCTGGTTTCTTGGTACAGCATTAGGGTAAGTGACTTTTCCAAGGTCACACAGCTGGCTTGGTCGGACTGAGATTAGAGTACAGTCTCTTGACTATAATTTAAGACCTTTTCTATATCACACTACCTCCTGGGTGTATCCAGCAAGCGGCCTACTACAGTACACAGAGATCTCTGAATGTGGAAATAAGGTAAGAAGCAAAGTCTTTTCTTTTTTTTTTTTTTTTTTTTTAACTTGACAGAGACTATGAGAGAGAGAAAGCACCCCCAACAATGTGTGGTCACACCACAATCCCCTTTTCTTCACTTCTCCTTCCCCTTAGAACTTTGGATGCACACACACACAGGCCCAGCATGTTTATCAAGCTGCCAGTGCTGGAATTCAAACTGATTAAGGGACCAGCAGATGGTGCAATGGTTATGTTGCTGGACTCCCACATAGTTGACTGCAGTTTGAATCCTAGACCTGGCAGTTTAAAACTCACTCTGGGCACATGTACGTGGGTGCCCAAGATCCCAAAAGGAGAATGGAGGAAAAGGAATTGTGGGGTGGCCATCCTCCCTTTGGGAATGATTTCTAACTTTCTGTCTCTGTCTCTGTTTCTCTGACAAGTGCACCTGTCCTATGGTAAAAAAAAATGTTAAAAACAAAAAACTGTGGCCACGTGGGATCTGGCTCCCAGTACATGTGCTATGGGCCCAGAAAGCATTGCCTTTGCATATATAAAGGAACCTCAGATTTCCCCCCCCAGGATTGGCTTCTATGGGTGCCTCAGCCTTGATCTCTCTGGGAAAGAGCTTCTGTCTCTAGCACTAACACTACTATGGTTTCCCTTGCGCTTTGAGAAGTAAGAGAAAGTACTGTACATGTGTGAAGAGATCTCTGTGCCTCAGTTTACCTCCTTTTGGAACAGAAAGAAAGCTAGCACCCTTAAGACTTCTTCTCTGAAGCTCTGCAGAGTGCTTGAATGACCATACAAGACATCCTGTGAACCCCCAAGGCAGAGAAAGCAGCGTTCTGTACCCACACAGGGGTGTTCCTGAAGTCAGGGCTGAGAGCTGAATGGAGGCACAGCAGTGAAAGGTGACGCCCCCAGACGCTGGCCCACTTGGGTTCTGAGTTTGCATCTCAACACCTGGCTGCATATGCTGGGCACGCATGCACCTGTGATCCAGGGTTGACTGAAGCTGGGGGTGGATTATACCATTAAGACCTTGTTGTGGGAGTGGGTTCTTGTTCATGACTGCTGCTGCTATTTTGGGGGTCTGGTCACCAGCAAAACAGCCTTGCAGGTTTGAGGGAAGCCAAGGGCCTTGTCCTGAATGTGTTATGACGCAGGCTAGTTATGGTGTCCATCCTAGCCAGGGGGAGCACACTGCAGCGCTTCAGAGATCACACCTTCCTCTGTGAAAAGCTCTGCACTGGC